CCATTCCTTCTGAAACTATTCCAAATAATCAAAAAAGATGAGTTCGTGTCGTTTGTAGGGACATGGATGAATCTGGAGAACATCATTCTCAGCAAACTGACACAAGAACAATAAATGAAACGCCGCATATTCTCACTCATAGGCGGGTGATGAAAAATGAGAACACATGGACACAGGGAGGGGAGTACTAAACACTGGGGTCTACTGGAAGGAAAAGGGGAGGGCCAGTGGGAGGGGGAGGTGGGGAGGGATAGCCTGGGGAGAAATGCCAAATGTGGGTGAAGGGGAGAAAGGAAGCAAAACACACTGCCATGTTTGTACCTATGCAACTGTCTTGCATGCTCTGCACATGTACCCCAAAACTTAAAATGCAATAAAAAATTAAAAAAGAATACCACATTTTAGACCCTGGTGAGGATGAAGGTGCAATGCTTTGAGCTTAAGATCATCAAATATTTCCCTCTAGTTCATGCCAAGGAAGCAGTAGTTTTATCAAATAGAGTTCTCATAGGACTTTAAGTATTCTTAAAATTTCTGAAAAGGGGGAGAGGAAATACGAAACAGTCCTTTGAAATGACATTTAAAATAAAACTTCCTTAAATGGCATTAATTAACAAGGGTGGAAGATGCTGAGTTAGGAGCCTTCTTATAGGGTAGGGGACTCCTATTGAATCTTTTTCTTAAACCCACAGTTATAATTGTAATTTTCATTAGCCTGACTAAATATATATATATTTGGCTTTCTTGTTTTCCCACAGACTTTTGACCATTTTAATATCTCAATTTAGCCTTCTTTAAAGGTGATCTGCAGAAAGGGGAACAATAGTCAATAAATGAAAAGAAAAAAATGTGAAAATGCCTATAGTTTTGTTTTTATACTCTCCCTTTGTAGAGGAAATCATCACCCATTTGGACTGTTCTCACCTGGAAGTTGTAATGTTGGTAAAAGAAATGTAGGAGAGAGCAAACTGCAAGATATCCCAATAAAGCATTACAAAAGATAGATATAATAAAACAAGACAAGCGGTAAAAGAGGACATCTGTGAAAGTGAATGATTATCCTCCAAGTGGCTAACCTCTTAAGGTTCCAATATCCTCAAGGTGTCTTGCTTTAATATCCATCATGGATTTAATATCCCGTCATGCTTGCTTCAAGCTTTTCTGACCCTATAAGCATTTTCAGTTTGTATCATCTCCTGAGAAAGAATGATCTATAGTTTTTCCACTTAGACAAAATAGCTGTCCTAGATTACATTTTTAAACTTTTAAAGAAATAGCTCCAATGTTATATTCTGGAATCAGTTAGAACCAAAATAATATTGCCACAACCTGATTCTTTATAATTTAGTGAACTTTCACAATATTCTATCCACAAACTTTAAGATCCTTAGTTTTATGGAACAACAAATGTAGCTTGATGTTGTACCTGCACTTCCCCTCCACCCCTCCTCTGATTCTTCTTAATTAACTACATTTCAACTGTCTTTAGCTTATTATCTATGTTTGGTTCTCATAAATAGCAGTGGTACCCTGTTACCAAATCAATAGCTGTGAATTGCCCCCTTTCCTAAGTCACCTGTGTTACATGTGACTAAGTTATGTTAGTAGACATCTGTCTCAGGTTAGCGGTCCTCAAATTTTAAGCTATAGCTATTCATACTTAGTTTGAGCTGAAGATGATAAATAAGGTGTAACTAGGGGAGTAACCAAGTAGGAAGTCTTGGGCTCTTAACTAGGTTCTCAGATAGTTTTTCTGCAGCTTCCCTTCATGTTACAATCCATCACTCCCACAGTGACATGTGTTTGAAAGTCATCTAAGGGTTTCCTGGTACAATTTCTTTGGTGAACTCGTCTTTTACAGGTTTCCATTTTCAGTCTTAGTACTGCCCTGGGCTATTTTTAGCTTTTCAGCCGCACAAGAGTGTTGTCATCATCTGTAACTCCCTAGTCAAACGGTTATGTCACATGTATCCCTGGGCCGTGATCTCAGACAGCTGCTCTGGGGATCAATGTTTGCAACTTCATTCAAAGCTAAAGGAAGAAAAACAAATCAGAGTACCTAGTGCCCAGGAAAGCAAAGGATTGTGACAAATCCTACCAGTTGGTTCATGTTTTATGTAGATACTACTTTTCTTCCTTTAACTCAAAAAGCAGTTTACAAGAATGACTGTTCTTTGTGGTGTGGAAATGGGACAGATGTTTCCAAAACACAATTTTAAAAAATGAATGACTCATTTAAAACTGCGGTACAAAAACATTTTAAGCTGACTATAGATAGTAAATAAATAAAACCTTAAAAAATTCAATTACTGAGAATTCAAGAAATAAATTGCTCTGAGGAAATGAGGTTTTAAATAATTAAACTTTATACCAATAAAATAATTTTTAACTCTTAAAAGAGGATACTGAATGTAACTCAAGCTACTATTATTTCAGAGGTAAAAATGAAGAGTCTAAAATGAGAATAAAGGACACAGTATCTGGCACAACTACTAAGTTCAAATCTTAACTGTGCCACATACAACTAGCCACATGCCTTTGTGTTTATATTGTATCTCTTTAAAACTAAATTTACTCGTTTGTAAAAAAGAGAAAATCATAGAAAAGTAGGGTTATTGTGAAGATTAAGTGATATGATGCATGCAAGGCAATGGCACAAAACCTGGAACTCAGTAAAAGCTCAATAAATGTGAGCTTTCAAAATGGTGTTCTCTACCTTAACAGGTAACAGTTCTTTATGGATTACTAGCCGTGTTGGGTGCATTCGCATTCCTTATAATCATCAGAAACTTCCACCTGCATCTTGTTTCTTCTCTCTATTGTTACTCAGATTATCAGGGATTACTTCTTTTAGCTATCAATTTACCTGTCTTTAATAGGTGTTGTATTACCCTATTACTTGCTGCTTCCAACATGCTTTGAATTGGGCAACCAGATTAACTGAATTTGTTGACATTCTCTCAAATAAAGGAGTAGTGCTTTGGTTTTGGACATCAGAGGCTTTTACTCTTTCTTCAGGTTCTGAGTAAAGTGTGATAAACATGAGGGCCTTATTCCACAAAAGAATAAAATATGGTAAGGGCCATAAATACTATCATTAAATTGTATCCTATACCTTCTCCTAGCCTCTTTCAAAAAGAGGCTTAAGACATTTGGTGTCAAGAAGAATGAATATAATACCATTAAAGAAATATAAACAGAATCAGAGCCAGAGAAGGTAGGAGGAAGAAAATGTACTAACCATTGGGACAATTGTAGTTATTGTGATCTTAACATGAAAACTGGCACAAAGCCTCCTGGCAGAAGGGAAAATGGAAAATATGTTCAATGACACAGTCCTGCTATCAGAAAAAAAGGAAGCATTCTGATTTTTTTTGGGAGGATAAAGTCTTATGTGGGATCATATAAAAAAGAACCCCCTTTTTTTTTTTTTTTTTTTTTTTGCATTTCCCCAATAGACAATGTCCTTGGCAAGCAATTGGGGTTATGCAATATCAAGTATAGGTGACCCTTGACTTCTTCATTTTTAATTTTCCTATTGCCTCCACCTCTGAGGCAGTTAGTCCAACTTTCAATCTGTTCCACCTATTGACATCATTCTAGTCTGTGCTCTTGGCCCTTACTAATGAGATCACAACTAACACCCCATTCGTCTCCTTGCATCTGGTTCTCCTGTTCACCAAGTTACCTTTTACATTGCCACCGAAAGGACATTCCTAAACCAATATGCTCAGCAAGTCACAGAAGGGTTCAAAAACCTTTAGTTACTCCCAGCAACCTCTAGAGGAAGTCTAAACTTTTCAGATGAGTATTTCAGATGCCTTAAAATCTTATTCTATGTCACATTTTATAAACTATTACTCCCCATTCCTAACCTTCCAGCCCAACCACCATTCTCATCAGTCTTTTGACTATGTCATGGTCCTTCCTCTTTCTACTCCTTTGCTCACATAGTTTCTGGAATCCCTTCCCCCTCTCCTAATTACCTACTCCTTACCACCTATCCAAATCTTAACTCTTCTTTAAGGTCCAGCTCAGTTCCTCCTTGGAAGCCTTCCTACCGACTTGGGTTCATGTTTCTCTCTTGTCGTACCACCCTCTGTGCCAATCAATGTGTGCTCCATAGACCTCTGGGGATTCCTGACCCTTTTGGGGAACCTGAAAGGTCAAAACTATTTTTATAATAATACTAAGGTGGTATTTGCTTTTCTAACTGCATTACCGTTTTCAGTGATGGTGCAAAAGTCATGGTGTGTAAAACGGCCAGCACCTTAGCACAATTCCGCATTGGTACCAGACTGAACTAGTAGGCATTCTTTTTTTTTTTTTTTTTTTTTTTTTTTTTAATTTTTTATTGGATTATAGGTTTTGGGGTACATGAGCAGAGCATGCAAGACAGTTGCGTAGGTACACACATGGCAGTGTGCTTTGCTTTTCTTCTCCCCTTCACCCACATTTGGCATTTCTCCCCAGGCTATCCCTCCCCACCTCCCCCTCCCACTGGCGCTCCCCTTTTCCCCCCAATAGACCCCAGTGTTTAGTACTCCCCTTTCTGTGTCCATGTGTTCTCATTTTTCATCACCCACCTATGAGTGAGAATATGCGGTGTTTCATTTTCTGTTCTTGTGTCAGTCTGCTGAGGATGATGTTTTCCAGCTTCATCCATGTCCCGTTTGCGAATTCAACGCGGGCTCCAATCCTGGGTTGTTCTCACAGCGCCATCTTGAGTCCCCCTCCCTAGTAGGCATTCTTTACCACCACATGCTCACAATGAAAAAACAAGTAGTCACTTCCCTTAAGAATGTTCTTGATAGAGAAGTAAAGTACTAACTTTACTAAATATTAAACCTTGAGTACACATCTTCTTAATATTCTGTGGGAAGAAATGAAAGTACCCATTAAACGCTTCTGTTGCACACAGAAGTATGAGGATTATCTCAAGGGAAAGGGATTGCAGGATTTTTGAGTTGTGTGTTAAAACTGCTTTTTTTTCCCCACAGAATACCATTTTTGCTTGACAGATGACGGACACAAAATTTGATTACACAGACTTGAGTACTTAGCAGATACTTTCTCAAAAATGAACAACATGCAACTGTCATTTCAAGGAAAACAACTGACAACATTTACTGTTAGTGACAAAATAGAAGCTTTCAACCAAATATCAGAATTTAGGACAACTGAATTAACCACTGTGAATCTGACAGCTTCCTAATAGTCAATGACTTTTCTGTTGAGACTGAAGGTAATGTTAACAAATGTGATTTTTTTTCATATAATGAAACGAGTAAACATTTGTAAAATCTACTTAACTTAGTTAATCGATACTTTCCAACTGACCTAAGCATGGTGGTAAAAATCATGCTTGGGTAAAGATCCTTTCAAAATGCAAGGCAAGTTTTTCATGCAGGGAAAATTCATTAATACAGTTTCACATTCCGCATTGCAACCAATCTTTAAAAACTACCACTTGTTGAGTTTTATTGTGAAATCCAAGATATCCACAATTATCTGAAAAGGCTTTAAAATATGCTGCCTCTTTCTGACTACCTGTCTATGTAAGACTGAATCATCTTCGTGTACTTTAACCAAAACAACACATTGCAACTTTTAGGTGCAGAATCATATATAAGAATCCAGCTGTCTTTTCTTAAAGAGATTTGCAAAAGTGTATTAAAAATGATACCCTTCCTACTATTTTAAAAGACACTTATTCTACATAAATATTTATATTAATGTGTATTTTTATTATTGGTTGTATTTACATGAATTAATACATATTTTTTAAATTTCTCAGTTTTAAGTTCTAATATGGTAGATATCAGTAGGTATATCCATATTTAGAAAAAAACCTCTTTGAGGCTGATACTTTTTAGAGTGTGAAGTGTAAGATTATTAAAAATTTAAAGCTGATTTTTATACCATTTATTTTGTCTCTTAATTATATCATGTTATAATAGTATAATACATACGTAAGTCATGTATTTGTATGTACATATACCATCACCTTAACTGGAAAAAATATTTTTGTGTTTTTAATCTGTAACAGCTAAGAAAGCGAGCCGACAGATACCTACTGAATCGACTTGAGGTAACATATCAAAGTATTTAACATAACAATTTTATTTAAGTTTTAGAATTAGATTGCAACAGACTAAGTCCATTCCAGAAAATTCAAGACTCCATTCCATCCAAATGCAGTTGTAAGTTTCCATATTCTATTAACACTTTAAATTGTATTCTATTGAAGAAAAGTATTTCCTTCCTATCTTTGCACATGCAGTTCCCTCTTCCTAGAATCTCCTTTGCTGCGTTTCCCCTTGGTGGAGATTTTCCCTGGTCCCCCAGCTAGCTTAGGTTTACTCCTTATATGCTCACAGCACACCTTATATTTCCCTTAAATGTCACTTCTCACAACTTTGTCGAGTTATTTGTGTAATTATTTGATTAATGTCTGTCTCTCACTGGACTATCTGCCTCAAAGGGATACAGACTGTGACATCTCTTCAGTGATATTTCCCAACAGTGCCTGCTCAACAGGGCTACAGAAACATTAAATGGATAAATACTATTAAATAAATTAACCCTTTATTCTGTGATATTCTATAATATGGCAGATAAATTAACAGGGAAAAATTCCATTACACATCACAGAAGAAATAAAGAAATCTGACTTCTATTTTTAAAGGAAATATTTAGAGAACAGCTCAGTGGGTGGCAAAAGTGGCAATGGGAAAACTGTGAGCACAGGGAAGAAGGATGGAGCCCACCTGAGGGAGTTAGCACTGGAGATGAGAAGAAAGGGACAGACTGAAGCTATAATTTATACTTAGAATCAGCAGACCCTGGTAATTAACTGGATGGGGGTCAAAGAGCCTTGGGTTTCTGGCTTGAGCAGCTGAGAGGGTGATGATTACATTTATCAACATTCAGAGAACAGGAAGAGAAAGATTAGGAGGGAAAGACTAAGTCCCTGAGGTTTCTATGTGGCAGTATCAGCATGTGGGGCTCAGAGGAAAGATTTAAGAAAATAAACCTGGGAGTTGTCAACATAGAGCTAGTCATGGAAGCTGAGGAAGTGAGTGCCAGGAGAGAGAGAGAGACTGAGAAAAGATGAATGGGGCTGGGGCTCTGAGGAAGCTAACTGATAGGAAGCATGTTGAGTGACAAAGGACAGGAAGCAAAACAGTAGAGAAGTGGCCAGAGAGATAGAGAAATGGTCAATGCAAGATTATCTTTGATTCATTTCTCCCTCGCCTCCAACTCTCCTTTCCATGTTCCCTGCTTCTACCCAGTCCCCACTGGGAATATTATGGTAATCTCCTAACTGGACTGCCTGCACATTGCTTCTCCCACAGTTCACCATGCATCCTCCCACCAGAATACTCTTTCTACAGCGGTGTTTTCCAACACAAGTAGCCATGAGCCACACAAGGCTATTGAAATTACATGCATAAGAATTAGTTAAGAATTCAGTTCTTTGGCCTCAATAGCTGCATCACAAGTTGTCTCCATACCCATGTGTGGTCAGTGGCTATTGTGTTAGCACAGAGACAGAAAGTTTCCACCATGACATAAAGTTCTGTGGGACAGTGCTGCTACAGCATTGCTTTCTCTCTTCAGCTCAAAGGCCCAAACTCTTTAGTCCCTTTGATTTCTGCATTCCACATTATCTTTCCAACATCATCTCTTCTCCCTTCCCAAGATCAACTCTAGGCTCAATACAAACTGGGCACACTCCACTCATTGCCACCTTCATTGATATGTTCATGTAATGCCATTTGGACCCTCCTGTAATATACCCACTGTGATAGTTACGTATCAGCTTGGCTAGGCCATGGTACTCATTTATTATGCAATCAAACACTAACCGAGGTGTCATTGTAAAGGTATTTTGTAGATGTGGTTAACATCCACAATCAGGTGATTTTCAAGTAAAGGAGATAATTCTCCATTATCTGTTTGGGCGTTATCCAGAGGTCAGCCAAAAGACCTAGTAAAATCCTGATTGATACAGATTTTGGCACAGATTTCAGTACCTGCCAAAATGCAGTCCTCAAGGTTGAGCTATACACCATTTTCCTCAAAAATACAAACCTGATTTATATATATATATGTATGTGTGTGTGTGTATGTATATACACATATATATGTGTGTGTATACATATGTATGTACACATGTATATATTTTTATATGTATATATGTATGTGTATACATATATACGTATATATATGTGTATACATACACACACACACACACACACATATATATATACATACATATAAATCAGGTTTGTATTTTGGAAGAAAAAGGTATATAGCTGTGTATATACATACGTATATATATACACACACACATATATAAAGCAATTTTTTAATATATATTGCTGAGCTCAAGCAGTTCTCTTGTCTTGGCCTCCCAAAATGCTAAGATTGTAGGTATGCAGCTCAAACCTGATTTTTCTAATGATTCTTAAACCTGAGTGTACATTACAGTCATCTTTTAAATGTTATATAAACACACTCACATTCTACTAAGACCAAGATACGCACATGGAAGTGGAGCCTGGGCTTTTAAATTTCAAAAGCACACTCTAGGTAATTCTGATGCACAGCCAGAGTTGAGAACTAAAACCCTAACTGAACTCCTCTGGCACTTCCTAAGTGCCTAACAGAACTCATCAAACAGTACATGCTGCCTTATAGAGTCTTTCATTCAATCAACCAACCAACCAGTGTCAACTGCGCGACTAACATTTGTCAGACCACAAGACAAGGCAGGAGACTGAGGTGAACAGCATGCCCACTACTCTTTGCCCTTTGGGTAAATGTTAAGATAGACGGCTTTGTATTTCTCTAAGCATACTGATTAATAAATACTGAATGAAAATTTTACTGCAAAATTTAGTGAAGCTAATAGTAGCTTATTCAAAATAGCACATAACTTAAATAACATATTTCTAGTTCACTGAAAATTATATTAGCAAGTGTTAGTAAGGGCTCAACATATTTATTAATTGATAGGTTATGCTGCTGGTATTTTATAATATTGCTGGGTATGATTAATTTTCAACCTTTTGATAACATGGTAGATACTTAAATGTCTGTAACTGTACTTTCTCAGGGGCACAAATCATCAAGGCTCTTGCCAACTCTTCTAAGAAGAATAGAACAAATTCCTGATACCAACACACTCTGATTTCATTTGAAAGGGAATGATATGGGGTATGGCAGGGCTGGGCAATGTAGGGATGTTGCCATTTTAATGCTAGCTAGCCCTTTCATTGTAATGTGCTTAGGCAACTACAACCATCCATAAATGTTAGATAAGACTATTCATTATATTATTTTATTAACATCCTTTTAAGAGAGCTAAAATGTTTCTCAATCACCATGCAGTCACTGAACAACACTCCACCCCACTGAGGATATATACTGATGATTTTTCTCCTTTTTAAATATGAGGAAACTGAGGTTCTAAAAGGAAAAGTGACTTGTCCACAGGGACAAGTCCATAAGAGCAGAGCTGCATGGAAAGATAGGGCTTCTAATTCCCTTGAGTCCATCTTATGTTCAACTTCCTAGGGGAATCTTAGAATGGCTTTCACCTACAACAAAGGAAAATTAAAGTAAAAACACTTTTCAAAGTCTCAGAAGTACCTCATCTAAGTCTCCTCTCTTTTTAATCTTCTTCCTTTGTATTTCACAAGATAGAATATTTGGTTTAAAACAAAGTGGACAAAAGTACATGAAATGATAGTGACACCATCAGCATCACTGAATGATCTGTCAAATTTTTCATTATTTGTTTTTATTTTAAGAAAGTCAGGAAAAAAAATATACAATTTTTTCCATGCATCCTGCTAAAATCAAAACACGCAAATTTGTGATCAAATTTTATTCCAGCTACAAGTATGGTCTTGACTTGATATATTCTAATACATGCTAACATCATAAAGATCTATATTATTGATTTGCCCATTATAATTAATGAAGATGCTGTTTGGTAGTCATTACAATCTGTCAGGTCACATTATTCTACATTTCAAAGAGTGACTTGGGAGAAGAGAGCTATAAATGCATTCTCCTTTTGAAGAAACCATTAAGAGTTTTCTGGGTAAAAGCATATTTATAGTCTCTTACCAGAGACGGACTTGAGGAATTCATTTGAAACTTAGAGTAAAGAGGCACTTTATATTATTATTTGTTAAAATAAAGAAAGCTACAGTTAACTAATGGGACTTCAGAAATAACAAAATGTCAAATCGTCTTTCCAAAGCCCTTCAGCCTTCTCAGTTAATTAAGAGTTCAAAATACAGGAGGGATGACAGCAGCTGAAATCCCACTGGTTTCTCCTTTCCAATTTTCTAGGAAACTTGTGAATTCACATTGTGTGTACATTCCCACCAAGTTCTGTCTTTCTCTTTAAATTTTTATTATTACATTTTACATCCATGCTGCTTTTTAGGTCATGGCACAATGAGGTTATTTATCAGCAAACTCTTAACTTTAACTCAATTATTTGGTTCTGTGGCTTTCCTGGCCATTATTGTGATTATGCTTCTAGATGACTCATAATCAAATGAGATCCACGGTAAATACTGATATCACATCTTTGTTCAGAGTGCCCAGGGCTCGCTGCTTTCCTCACCCATGTTTTTGTCAAATTAATTTTGACATTCCCCAGATAACAGATAGCTTGCTGAATTTCTAATGTAATACTTTGTGGGGCAGGAAATCACAAGGCATTTTATAGCTAAGGATTTCTGGAAATAGTGGAATAGCCGAATGAACACTGTTATATCAAGAAAGTGTTTTAATCAATTATATCATTTGGCTGCTGATAATTTGTTAAATGAGGCAAAAACATAGAAGGGAGCAATGCAGATACAACAATGAACTGCATAAAACTCACTGGGGTGAGATAGTCACAGAAACCTCCTTTTCCCTCATTCCTCACTTTCTGTAAGTTACCATCAATTATCAACTAGAAATTGCCAATTGCCATGTCCCACTGACATGCCCTGGTTCAGGCATTCCTTATCTCCATCCTAGATTGTATCAGTTTCATCTGTATTTCAACTCCTCCAAGGTGTGAGATATTTTAATTATGAGAATGTCTTTCCACTGAAATGAAATCTAGTTGCTCATATATACCTTCTATTCGTGGGTCTTGATGCT